AGATGCAGACAGTGTAAAAGTACAACAATTTATATGTGTAAAAAATGTCAAATACATCTTCATGCTGATTGTTTTAAAATATTTCACTCACGCTAATCGCTATAGTATTAGCGTAAGTGAAATATTTTAAATGTATTTTTATGACTTGCTTGTATAATATAAGTTCAGTAATCCCAACGTTGCGTAGGTGCAACATTTCACAGAATGAAAAATAATTAACCAATATTTTTTTTTTAATAATTTTCTCTTTTTTTATGTATTTTTAAACGTAAGAAACAATAAAACCATAAAATATGCATTTATTTTTACCCTTGGGAAATAATGGGTTAAGTTAAGTGGTGGTGCTAAATAAACGCTTCAGTTAAGATAAACAATTTTTGTGAAAGATTGTGGCCTTCAGGCAGCGCCCGCAACTAGCTTAGGAGCTTTTATCACTAAACTTGCTGGTTTTCTTACCTTTAACTTAGGTTGAGAAGAAATTTGTGTCGGCACGAGCCGGCATAATTACGAATCGCTAATCAAGCTCAAGCAAAGCCTTGCTCCACCTATAGTAACACTCCTTCGTCACCAAAGTATCAGCTTTGCAGTTACCTATGACCTGTTACTCAAACTAATGTTATCCATAAATAAACTAATGTCGTTGATAGTGAGGTTAGATATTTTTTATTGGCATCAAGCATCAGTGAATTCACCAACCTTCCCCCAAGCTTTGACATATTCGTAACGAAATTCACTGGTTCGGTGACTGTATGGCTCCAATATGAAATCAAAGCGAACGGGGGTTTTAGTGTCCAAAAACAATCTGGGCACCTTTAGTTTAGTAGCAACTTTAACGTCTTTACTGCACGACACATTCTAATAAGCACTCTTCGTGGAAAACTTTTAAGTTTCTTAGCAAGTGTAGTATTTTCCAACATCTTTCATCACACAAAGACCATGTAAAATATAATGACATATTGCAGAGCCACAATAAAACTCTCTTCTGTATCGGTATCTTTTGTTTACAGTTACTATTTCATCAAGTCATCAATTCTTATAAACAAATTTGTATATACTATCTGTTAGGTTAGATAATCAGCGTGAAATTCGTGGAACAACGAATGAGCCTACTTGGATAGCTAAAAAGGTTTGTCGAAAAAGCACCTTGTGCCATTCCGTGATTCCAACCAATTCGCGTCGTTTTCAAGCCGCTTACGATGGCACATTTTTATAGACTCCATCAATATCTTACCAAGTTCTTTGTGTGCTGGAAGGAGCCTAGTCATGACACAGTGGCATGCAGAATAGAATCTAAAAGCCTGCCTGTACTGTAGGCATGCTAATTCCCTAATATCTTCTTACTCTGGATTCTGCTCCTTAACATGCGAGCTCTTCACTTCTTTCGGTCTAGCTTCTATGATGATTAAGCTTTTCAAACGTTGTTCGTACTAGAGTGTCTCAAATATTGATTGAAAGAGGTGACACTTAGGAGACTCAAACATATCAATTTGATATGGATACAGTCCATTCCGTAAAAAACTACAACTATTTACATCCTATTGAGTCTACGTGTTTTTAACAATACCATATCGATCGAAATATGCTTAAAAAAGTATAATATTGATGGTTAAACCTTGAAACCTGTTAATTAAATACAGATTTTACTTTAAATATTTTGCATATATAATATATTGGATTATCCTCACTCGAATGTTAAATGTGTAAAATAAATATAGTTTTAAGTAGAGCAACTTGTTAAGATAATAAATGAGTTCTCATAGAAAAGCAAAGAATCCTGAAATTTTTGGAAAAAAAAAATATATTAAGCTCGTTCAATGCGACGCCATTTCCGGTGACCTCTCGGAAGAAAGATGCGCCCTCGCCCCCATCTAAAGGGAAAAAGACGTGTTTCAGTTAAAACCTAAACTTAGAAGTTGGACGAAGAAAAAAAATTTCGCGAAATTTAGTTTTTTCTTTTCCAAATAGTTGTCATCGATAAAAATCGTTCGTTCAGGGCAATAAGAATTGTATCTCAAAGACCTGTGTAAAATTTTATGAAGATTGCTAACCGACTTCAGAAGTACAGTTTCTAAATAAAAGCGTTTAAAGACGGCACACTTAGTCTAGCTATATCTCCGAAACTATTCGGATCAACTTGAAAATTTAGGACAAACTTCTAAAAGTTGTAGAATTTAATAAGACAATACTTCTTAAGAAGTCAGTGTTCGTGGTCGAGTTTAGTATCACTTCTTTATAGCTTGTTATTTTTTAACTTCTGGTAACCTTTGTTATTTGCCTTGTTATTGTAAAAGCTGTTGTGTAGAGTTTAGTTTATCATCCGTCACGATGTTATAGACGTGTTTCCGAGCACCTCTATCGTCTTTTAAGGTATTTTGCTCGACCAATCGACACGAGCCTTTTGTGAAGCGATTTAGCAATTTTCTGAGATTCAACGTAAACAAGTTTTCTTACAGTCAAATATCAGTCCAAGTCGAACGTTGTAAAAAATATTCACGCAAAATGTTTTCAGTTTAATTATATTTTTTTGTCGAAATGAATATTTTAATCTACTGTAATCAACACAAATAGCATTTGTATGTCAAAACGTTCTGAGTATGTATAGTATAACATCAAAAATGTTTTATGATAATGTTGCCAGAATTCAACATTAAGGATGCCCAATTCCGAAATATTAAATTGAATCTACGCAGAAAAAAAGTTTCGGACATCAAACAGCTTTAATACTGGTAACTTTTACTGTAACCTTATTTGCGTATCTCGAAGTCTCGACTAATGAAAGTTCAAATTTTATTAAAAATTTTTTTTGTACAGTAATAATATATCTAAAGGAAAAGAAATTAATATAACCCTTAATAAATTCTGGCGACTTCGCTATATTTCGTCTTAATTTTTTGTATTTTTTCACACCTTTCATTCGTATTTCTCTTCTACTTCCAGCACCCATTGTTGGCAATTTCACCGACGAAGATTTCGCTGGTGGTACGATTGCTGCGGGTGCAACACCGCAAGATAATGCCGAGTATCCGTTTCAGCGTGATGAAGTGGAGCGCGTCATTAACGGAAAATTTGGTGAACGCAGTCAACCGCAAACACCATTGGGTAAGTGATTTTTCTTCACACTCCGTTACTTAAATTTATTTTTTCTTAACACAACACGCTAACACTGTCAGAAAATGCAACTTCATTCAGTGGAACATTTTGTGCGCATAAAAATGATTTCGAAATCAAAATCACTGCCACATTTAGACGTTTTGATGTGCATTACACTTAAGCTAGCACTTGCAGTTTTGAAATCGCTCTCTTATTTTGCGTGTGGCAGCAATAGACATTTCTATTCCTGTGGCACATAAAATGTGCTCGTATATTAAATAAATTTTTACAGCAGCGATGAGAAGATTTGCGTTGTACAGAGTCGGCTTTCCGTTATTGGAAATGAGGGGTTTTTAACACATTTAAACCGAAAAGGAATCGCTGACAGATTTTAACTCAGGTAGTAGATTTACCTCTACTAGATACACTCAGCTAAAGACTGGACGCCACAAATTCATGTAACTGTTTCGAAACTTTGCCACAAATTTCAGTTACTCATAGTATAGGTTTTTTTTAATTAGACTTTTTCCAACCATCTTAAGCAAATTTTAGATTCGTTAAATTAATGATTGGTATACTTCTTCTAGCCTTTCTTTCGTGAATTTAATATTAAACTTTATACTCAAGAGATTACATTTTTCCATTTTTTCCTTTGAAAATACTACTTTTTTAAATCCTTCACTAGCTTTTCCCTTTCCGAAGTACCATATTTAATCTTTCAAAAGCTCGCAAATAAACTCTCTATGATAGACTAGATATTTCGAAGATATGTATGTTCTCTAACTCCATTACCCGTTTTTTCTGAATGCAACCAAATGCTTTCGATTTTAGCAGAAAGCGCTCAATGACCTCCATCACCGAAAAATCATATGGATCTTACATTCGAAGAGTATTTTTATCATTGGTGGAAATCTCAAACCCTGTTTCAATTATATGAGAGCCCATGAAAGCTGAAGCTCCTCAGCAGGAGAAAAATATATTTAAATTACTCTTAGATATTTCCACTGTTATTTTCTTTTGATCATCTACCCATACACATATACCAATGTGAGCAGAAAGTTAAGTAAATTTTTTTATAAAATGTAAATTCCTTATTTATTCTATCAAATCAACTTCATCGCTTTCAAAGGCCCTTACGGCAAAACTCACTTTTATCAAAGCTTGTTTCAGTCGGTATACTTAATGTCCGTTATTGATTTCAAGACATCATCATATCATCAGTGGTGTCAAAACAGACATGCTTTTATTCTGCTTTTATATCATCAGTGGTGTCAAAACAATGTCACCGCATTGGCCTTTTGAGTTTGAGAAGTCGCACGGAGCCAAATCAGGCGAAAACGGTGGTTGCGAAAAGATATCAGTCGAGTTTTTGCGTTTAAAGTCGCGAAGAGCCTATAAAGTATGACATCGTACATTTCCAGACACAATAGATCTTAGGTCGCGGTGCAATTCTCATCTATTTATCTTATGGTTGAAGTAAACAAGAGTTATTCTCTCATAATATCGGCGGTTTCAGATCCAAAACACAAACGACACAGAATACTCAAATCATATTATTTTCACGCCGAAAATGGTGCACCAAAGCACGAAAATCACCTTTCAAAAAAAAAAAAAAAAAAACAAAATTAAAAAAATTCTTTTGTCTCAAATTGGAGTTTTAGTAACCTCTTTTGATTTCCTATTCGAGCTCAATTGTCCGTGTTTGGTTTTAAACACGAGTTTTAAGATTGGTTAGGAACAAGTATGTGTTCTCGTTGAAATTATTAAGATTTTTTTAGTGTTGGGCATTAGTTTTTACTATATATTTTAAATTATGAAATGTGAAATTATTATAAAATTATGTGCTTCCAAATTTCCATTAGTATAGCCAGCTTTTTTTTTCAAAACCTTGTATAAACCTAGGTTATAAGGTCTCTATAAAGGCCGAAAAATTATTGGTCGAAAAAAGTTCATAAACAATTTGGGTAATAAACCTTGTATTTGAAAGTAACATTTAATGCTAAACCCCAAAATGATCAATAGTTAAACCAATTTGAAGCCAAAAATTTTGTTTGTATTAGGTGTTTAATAGTAAATAGCGCATTTTAAACGTAAAACAATAAGTTCTGTGTTTGAGAGTAGTTTTTAATGCTAAACACTAAAATTATAAATAAACTCGCGTTAAAGATTTTTTGAGAGAAGTCTTTGCTAACTAACAAATTTTTCTTGTAAAATGGTAAACGTTATTCTTGATATTAAAGTTTATGCTAAAGACCAAATTACAAATTAACTCGAGTTAAAGAACATTTTGGGCGGAAGTCGTTTTTGTTAGCAAACTAATTTTAGTTATAAAATGATAAGTGCTGTGTTTAAGGGAAAAGTTTAATGCTTCAAAATTATCAATAATAATAATACTAAACACCACACTGGTCAATAAACTCGAGTTAAGTATTATTAATGGAGAAGTGTTTTTTTATAAAAATAAAAATTGTACTTCTGAAACGATAAACTCTTTGTGTGGCCAATAAACTCGATTTAAAGGAATTTTTTTAACAAACAAATTTTAGTTAGTTTATGATAAATTGTGTGTTCGAGTGTTTGATACCAGTACGACCATTAAACTCCAGTTAAAGACTATTTTAGGAGGAGGTTCTTGCTTATTAAAAAACAAATTTTACTTGTGAAATGACAAACTTTATGTTTGAGAGCAGAGTTTATGCTAAAAAGAAAATATAAAAAAATATGTAATAAACTCGAGTTAAAAATTTTTCTAGGCGGTAGTCTTTTTTACTAACAAACTAATTTAAGTTCATAAATGATAAGCACTGAGTTAGAGAGTAGAGTTTAATGCTTAACACTAGAATGAGCCATAAATTCTGGTTAAAGAATTTTTAATGCAGAACTTCTTGTTTAAAAAAAAAGAAATTTTACTCATTAAATGTTAAACCCTGTGTTGAGGACAGAGTCTATGCTAAACATGAAAATCAACAATAAACTCGATTTAAGTAATTCTTTTGTACTTTAAATCTGTGTTTGTATTAACAAAAATAAAAATACGAGTTAGCCAGAGTTTTAGATTTCAAAATCGTCTACAAAAATGCAATCTAAACTAAAATGCAAACTAAAGAGTACCTGTGGTATTCCCAGAAATCTCAAATCTAACAAGCCCTCCAAGCGCCTGCCTTGCGTTAGTACACATTGTAATAAATTCTTGACTTCTTTAAGCCAACCGCAATCAACATTTTTATATAAACCAGTGGCATATTAAAAATGTACAAATCATTCTGCGGGCTTAGCGCTTCTTTTCGAATCTCCACTTCACACTTTTCCGCCGTGTCATATCCATTTTCATTTCTATTAAATTGCATTTCCAACCAACGCGCACTACAACTGAAGACCGCAAACATGCCGCTACATATTTAACATAGCTACTCTGCTACGGATACAAGGATTATACGGAAGAAATATTATGAGCACTCACTTTGCTTGAGAACTATATAGAAATGTTAAGTAGTGTTGATATGCTTTTGGAAATATGAAGTTAGAGGAAAAATAATTTACAAGCAGGCGAAAAGATTTTCGAATATGAGAAATAATTTTTAGCGTTTAAAAATAAAATACGCTGAAGTTGTGAATTGCTTAAGACCTAAAAAGTAGTAATTTCAAACGACAGATTTAATTTTTGCTATAAACACAGTATAAGGTCTTAACAAGCACAACAACTTTTATTTTACAAAATTTCACTTTATTTTCCAAATTCTTTACTATCTAATAGTCGGTTTTCCATATTTGCCTTTACTCATTAGTGATTTCACCCAAACCCATAGACCATCCTGAACCGGAGAACAGTTTGATTGGCTTCATTTTCGCCGTATTGGTGGCCATCATATTGGTGCTCGTTGTGGTCATACTCTTAATCGTTATACGTAATAAACGCGGTCGTGGCGGCAATGTGCTCGATGCATTCCAACACAACTTCAACCCGGATACGCTTGGTGGCGCCGACAAGCGGCTCAATTGCAATGGCATGAAGGTGAGTTGGTGTTGTAATTTTCAGCAAATATTTTTTTCATATTCTCTTTGTTTTTGGTGTTATTTTTAATATAATTTTTACATGACCAACACATTCCATCAACGTGTTTATTATGCTTTCGCAGGCCGTCACTATGGACAATGACACGGAGTCGATTGACAAGAGCAGCCTCTACCATGAACCGTTCAATGTGAATATGTACACGAGTGCAGCGAGCGGTTGCTCCATGAATGACATGCAACGGCAACATGTCACACCGGACTACACAGGTATGCAAATTGCTTATTATATTTTTATGTTATGCTCGTACATATCGGCAAATGTCTATGGGCATGTTAAAAGAAATGCTTAAAACGTTGATGAACATGTTTTTCGGTGAATATAATTGGTTGGTTCGTCATAGTAAAAAGTACTAAACACATTTTCCTAGAAGTTTATTGCAAGTTAGTTTATCGGTTGGGTCAAATTATTATTATTATTATTTTTTTTTTTTCGAACCACAAAATCATGAAATATTAAAGCCAAAATATTTAATTATTCATCAATATCTATTTTGCCGCCTTCAAAATAATCACCACCACATATAATACACTTATGATTTTTCCAGTCCTTGAAACAGTTTTCATAAGCACTATTAGGATGTCCTTCAGCTCCTTTAGCGAATTTTGTTTTATCAGTTTCAGTTTAAGGAACAACAAAAATCAAACCAAACGATATCTGGGGAAATGCGATGGTTGATCGATGGTATTCATTGTGTTTTTGACATTAAATGATTCGGTCACAATCGTGCCTCTATGCTATGGAATATTATCATCGTATAGAATCCATGAATTTTTCTTCCACAATTCCGACCGTTTTCGACAGATGTTCTCACGCAAATGCTTCAACATGTTCAAAAAGCACTTCTTATTGACCATCACGAATGTTGCAAAAAAAAAAACAATGAGTATCACCTTGATTTTGGAGCGGATTTTGCGTGTTTATTTGGTTTCGGCTCGTTTTTCACTCCATTCCGATGATTGTTAACTTGTTTGCTTCATGATGTACCCTTTGAATCAGAAATAAGCCTCATCGCTGAACAAAATTTATTTCGAAAACTTCGGAACTTCTTCGAATTTTTCAAGAGTCCATAGGGTGAGGCAATGTCGCTTGGGAAACTCAAGCCTTCAGCACAAGCTGTTTTTTTGTTTTTTTTTTTTTACGTTTTCACTTTAAGGTATCGGTCTTCGCGTACTACTACTATATTCTCTGCGTGTTGTGCGCGGTCTATCCAGTAATAAATGCTGGGTTTTCAAGTGGATAATAGTGTGGCTAATAGTACGCTCAGTAGGCCGGTTATGTTGAGCGAAATGCACGAAACATTTTCTTGACAGAAATGGAATTTTCGTAATTATCGTAATAAAGTTGAACGATTTATGAAAGTTCAGGCGTAAGTCTTTCCATGATGAAATGCCATACAATACTGCACGTAGTAGTTCTGAAAGAAATTCGTCTGTGCAGAGTATTAACGCTTCGGTGGAGCTGATGTAATTGTTTTTTTTTTTTTGCTTATTTTAGTCTAAAATCAGCGCTTCTTTCCCTTCCATCTATCTAAAATTAGGCATATTTATTCAAAAACCATAATTATTGAGGTCACATGATTTGGAAAGAAAACTATCAAAGACATTATGTAACATGGCGCAACTAATCAATTGACGGAAAGTCACATTCAAATGCAATGCATTAGAAATTCAACAACTGAAAAGTAATTTGTCAGCATAGACAATAAATAATATAACAAATAGCAGTAAAATATTATTTGAAAATGCGCATTTTTGTTGTTAGGGCAAACTAGCTTTTCAATTAGCAGCATGTAAGCCAGGTGCACGTGTGGCTGAGAGCGCAACTATCAACCTATGTTTTTCAGCATAAATGTATGAGTGTTTATTTGTACATGTGTATTAGTATGTGTGTATTTATGTTAGTTTATATGTGTGATATTAGTATGTTTGTGTATTAGTATGTCCATAGATATTAGTATATATTTATAATATATGTTTGCGTTGCCTATCTAGCAGCTATCTCGTACAATCGTAATATGACGTCAACAACTAAAAGCTAAAAACCGTTAGAGTTACTAAAATTTGCCGAAAAAATCTCGATGTTATTATTGTTTTTGTTGTTATTATTGTCATCATCATTGCATGTAGTTTTTCGGTGAATTTCATTTGTCATCACATGACACCAGTGCTGCTGACAGGACGTGTAAGGCAATAAACACACAATACATACCTGCACACATATTCACTTATTGCCAGCGAACAGGCTGTAGTGGCGGTCACACGGGAGCAATTTTATGTACGTTGTAATTTGGGCCAACATGCAACGTGCTGCTCCCCCCGTTCGGACAGCGCTACATTTGGGACATTTTTGCATTTTCACAAGCATACAAACATACATATGCCAAAAAAAAACAGCATAGCAACAACAGTAAAACAACAAYAACAAAAGTAAAACAACAACAGCTGAAAACCAACAGAAAGAAAATCATCCAAAAACATTAGCGCTGTCATTTCCGTCATCAACGGTTAACATCATCGAAAGCGCTGGGCATAACCGACACTAAACAGCAGGTGAGCAAAGCGTRCGCCAAGAGGGAGCAAAAACGGGCGAGCGCCACAGCAATGTGTGCTAAACTAGCAAACAAGCGAGCGAGGTCGGGGGAAAAAAATCCGCAGGTTGTTGACACTTTTATTGTAGTTGTATGTAGTTAGCAGTTTGCATTTGCAACAACATACGACATGCGACATGCAACATGTACGCGCTTAATTGAACAACTTGCTACTGTCAACTGCGCGTTAGCGTCGCTTGCCCACGAACAGCTATTATTGCATTGTTGTTTTTTTTTTTTTTTTGTTTTGTTTTTGCGCTCGCCTTCACCTTTCTGTCATAATTCCATTGAAAGCTCGAACTCGAACTGAAGCTCCATGCCGCGTACTCCAACTCCATGGATTCAGCACTACAGCGCGCCCGCAGTAATTTTCCATTTTCCGCGAATATCAACATTCTCCCTCTCTTTCTCACTCTCTCTCACTATCTCCACGCTTTTATTCGCATTGTCACTTACCTTGCTRGCGTTAATGAATTCTAATGTTCGAACTCTTATCGCAGTGGCCACATTTTCCGTCTTACTTTTGTATCCTGCTATCCTGCTAACCGTTGTTCGCCTGCTTGCTCGCGWCAGCATTTCCCTTGGGGCGCATATCATAAACCCCACTACCGCCTGTTCGTGGGTGACAGCTGAAATGCGCACAAAAATCATATTCCGAAAATGACTTTGCCAGTCGCTTTTGAATGCATTGTTGTCCATTGCATAAAAGTTGCTGCATTCAGCTATTGTTGTTGTGCTTGTTGCAGTTTTTCATTCATTAAGCTCGCATGTATGCATGCGCTGGCAGTACCCAACTGGACATGTTCATGTTCTGCTCAATTAACCATTTTATTCACTTGTATGCGGYCTCCAGTGACTGATTGTTTTTGGCGCCAGTCACAATGGAAGACTCTCTTTTTCGGTTTATTTGGTTTTGTTCACAGTGGCTTTGCTATTATTTAATTTTTTTTTAGTTTTCAACGGGTATAATATGTGCTGTAACTATGTAGAAGGACATTTTGAAAAGACTTTCTTATCACAAATACGAAACGAATCTTTTGTCTCAACAAGTTTGAGAATTACACTTAGACTGTTACTTACAGTCCTTTGCGAAGCCATACGAAAAAAGCCTTTTTTAGCACTATGAAGCATCGAAAACCGAAGTGTGGAACTTTAATCCACTAAACCTAACCTACTCCCAACTCAAGACTTTCCACGGAACCACCGGTTAAGGTCTCCTCTATTGCGCGGACTGACGGACCTCTAATCTATCAGTTTTTTTTTTTATTACGAATGCTGACTTTTCACTAACAACTTACCATTTATCAGTCGTTAACTTATCGACCGTAAAACTAGCAACCAGTGTGGATTTAAATTTTTCCCTTGTATTTAAAAATCGAGGGCAATTTAATAATATATGTTCAGAGTCTTCTATATACTCTGTACACGTCGGACAGTTCGGACTACTGCCTTTGTGGAATCTGTAAAAGTAGCTTCTGTATAATATTTTGATAGAAAACCAGCACACCTTGTCGTTTTTCTATTCAGAAGTTGATACCCAGTTTAAGTTTGTGGGTCCAGCGCCCTYTGGATGAGGAATTCCACCGCTACTGCCACATTGTGGTGCTCTCGTTATTAAAAATCGCCGGCTGGCACACACCCAGCCTTTATTGGCTATCATTCTCGATAGAATATTATAAACTTTGTTTGCTTACCGGAAGTATCCGCCAGGCTTTCCTTAMATTTTAATTTGGAATACAATATTAYTMTAAGATATTTTAGCTGTGTAGTAATCTCGCACTCCCTATAAAGGGCTTTATTCGTTCTTCCAGATCAGACCGTTTAAAGACTAATTTCATTTATTTCTCATATCGACTAGTTCTTTAGTCACTGCTACCACCATAAGATCGTTCACATATGCTATTGATTTCACGTCTGTTGGTTACTGTCTTCTTAGTAGCTCCTGTAGTAGGATATCAGCTATGGGCAAAACTGCACTGAACTTATTACAAATTTGCTCAGATGTTTTATTACTATTTCCGCTATTTTACCTATATGTCTAAAGGTATGAAATCCAAGTTGTTTTTATTTTGATTTTGATATATCAAAAGCTGAGCATTTGAGGAAAAAATGTAGAGATGATTTGATCTCATTTTCTTTCAAATCGCTAATGCAGCTTGTGTCCATTTAGAACTACTGCAATCATTGAAATGTGACCTTTACTGGGAACTAATAGTCAGTGGGTTCTTGAAACTACATAGATATAAATAGTGGACGAAACGCTTGTTGAGCTGGTCTAAGGCTCAACAGTCTAGTAGTGAACGACAAGATGCATACAGAGCTCGTACACGTTTCTATTAAGTTTTCTGTAATACCACTGTGGCCAGACACCCATATCCGACTAATCATAAAATAACTCGACGCTAGTTCAAATTCCATTCTATTAAGTACTACATCGCAATCATTTTCTCTTTTTTTCTCCGCTAAAGTTATGGGGAGTGGGCTGCACATATTGTTAAAATCCTTGTCGAGCTAAAAGTTRTAATATCTACCACTACCTCTTAAAAAATCAATGAGAAAAACTGAATGTTATTGCAATATTATATAAGGTTAGATATAAAACTAAGGTAACGCTGCATT